TTCTGATGGCTTATTAAAAATAGATGGATGGCTGGGTGCAGTGGCTCAAGCCTATAATCCCAGCACTTTGAGAGGCCAAGGCGAGAGGATTGCCTAAAGTCAGGGGTTCAAGACCAGCCTGTGCAACTTGGCGAGAACTCATCTCTATAATAAATCAAAAAATTAGCCAGGCATGGTGGTGTGCGCCTGTGGTTCCAGCTACTTGGAAGGCTGAGGTGGAAGTATTGCCTGAGCCCAGCAGGTTGAGGTTGCAGTGGCCGTGAGCATGCCACTGCACTTCAACCAGGGTGACAGAGTGAGACTCTGACTTCAAAAAAAAAAAGATAAGGTCTTGCTACGTTAGCCAAGCTGGTCTCAAACTCCTGGCCTCAAATGATCCTCCAAGTCAGACTCAGAAAAGTACTGGGATGGCCAGGCATGGTGACTCAAACCTGTAATCCCAGCACTTTGGGAGGCCAAGGCGAGAGGCTTGCCTGAGCCCAGGGGTTCAAGACCAGCCTGGGCAACTCGGAGCGATCTCATCTCTACAATAAATAAATGAATAAATAAGCCAGGCTTGGGAGTATGTGCCTGTATTTCCAGCTAATTGGAAGGCTGAAGTGGAAGGATCGCCTGAGTCCAGCAGGTCGAGGCTGTAGTGACTGTGAGAGTACCATTGCCCTCTAGTCTAAGCAACAGAGTGAAACTCCAACTCCAAAAAAAAAAAAAAGCACTGGGAGTACAGGTATGAGCCACTGCATATAGCCTATAAAGGATAACTCTTATACATTGTTGGTGGGAATGTAAATTAGCACAGCCATTATGGAAAGCAGTATGGAGGTTCCTCAAAGGACTAAAAATAGAGCAAGCCCATGATCCAGCAATTCCACTACAGGGTGCATATTCAAAATAATTGGAATCAGAAGAGATATCTGCACTCCCATGTTTACTGCAGCATTATTCACAGTAGCTAAGATATGGAATCAACCTATAAGTGCCATCAACAGATGACTGGGTAAAGAAAATGTGGTTTATATCCACAGTGGAATACTATTTAGCCATAAAAAAGAATGAAATTCTGTCATTTGTGGCAACATGAATGAGCCTGGAGGACATTATGTGAGGTATGGTATGCTAAGCACAGAAAGATAGATACCACATGTTCTCACTCATATGTGGAAGTTAAAAAAGTTGAGTTCGTAGACAGAGTAGAATGGTGGTCACTAGAGGGAGGAGTAGGAGAGAGGGGAGGTAGCTGAAGGTTGGTTAATGGTTACAAAACTACAGCTAAATAGGAAGAATAAGTTCTAGTGTTCTATAACGCTGTAGGGTGACTATAATTAATAACTATTTATTGTATATTTTCAAATAGCTAGGAAAACATCCTGTTGTTCCCCACACAAAGAAATGATAGATAAGCTAATAACTCTGATTTGATCATTATACATTGTATACATATATCAAAATATAGCACTCTACCTCCTAAATATGTACAAGTGTTGTGTGTCAATTAAAAACAATAATAAGGATGGGCATGATGACTTACACCTGTAATCCTTCCCACTTTGGGAAGCCCAGGTGAGAAGATTTCTTGAAGCCAGGAATTCAAGACCAGCCTGGGCAACATAGTGAGACCCAGGCTCTACACAAAATAAAAATAGAAAAATAAAATAATAATAATGATAAAAGCAAAAAAATAAACAAGATGCCTGGGTTCCTCCTCTAGGGATTCTGATTCAGCAAGCCCTGGATGAGGCCTGAAAGTATGCATTTCTAACAAGTCCTAAGGAGACACTGCTAGACTGGGGGCCACACCTTGAGAAGCACTGGTCTGGGCTTCCCAAGAAGGGAGAAGGACTTCAAATACACAGTGCTTGTCTACGGCCATACCACCCTGAATGCGCCCGATCTCGTCAAATACACAGTGCCCACCTCGCTCTCTCTACCTTACCTTACTCTAAAATTTATTTTGCACTTATTGCTTGTACCATATGATAGAGTGTTGTAATATATAGTTTATCTTTATTCATGAATTCTAGACTCGTAAGCTATTTTACAAAGTCCTTAGGTTCGTGGAGCATGGTTTTCTGTCTCATTTAATAATGATTATTGATTAAATGTTAAGAGAGATGGTTAGGGTCTTGTTATGGATCTTCCATATATCAATCCAGGCTTCAGATGTGATGTGCATGGCTACGAGTCAAGTTTTGGAGTCAGGTACCTCTGGGTTCAAATCCTGGGTCACCTAGCACTAGCCCAGCAACTTCCAGCAAGTCATTTAACCTAGGAGACATCCTGGATTCCACTTTTTCTCCTTATCCCCCTCATCCAATCCATCATTAATTTGGTTGGCTCTTTAGCCAGGCACGGTGGCTCATGCCTGCAATCCCAGCACTTTGGGAGGCGGAGGTGAGAGGATTGCCTGAGCCTATGGGTTCAAGACCAGCCTGGGCAACATGGTGAGACCTCGTCTCTACAGTAAATAAAAAAAATGAGCGGGGCATGGTGGCACATGCTTGTAGTTTCAGCTACTTGAAGACTAAGGCAGAAGGATCATCTGAGCCCAGCAGGTCAAGGCTGAGGTGGCCATGAGTGTGCCACTGCACTCTAGTCTGGGTAACAAAGTAAGACTCCAACTAAAAAAAAATAAAAAAAATATGGTTGGCTCTAAAATACACTCTCAAATCATCCACATGGCTCACTCATTGCCTCCTCAGAGAGGACTTCCCTGGAAACCCTGCCAGAAGTAGCTCCTGCCTGGCCCTCCCTTTGATGTCTCCCTCACAGCATTTAGCACAGCATTTAGCATTTATCTCATTTATTTACTTACTTATTTCTTCCCATGTCCTCAACCTCTAGAATGTAAGTCCCACTACAGCAAGGATATTGTATGTCTTGATCACTTATAGCTCCCCAAAGTCATCCAGAATAAGGCCTGGCAGATAATTGGCTCTCAAAATACTTGTTGAATACATGGCGGAATAAATAAGCGAGTGAATGAATTAATTTCTTTAAACTTTGATTTCAGCTGGGCTCGGTGGCTCAGCCTGTAATCCCGCACCTTGGGAGGCTGAGGTGAGTGGATTGCCTGAGCCCGCAGGTTCGAGACCCGCCCAGGAAACTTGGCAAGACCTCATCTCTACAGTAAATCAAAATGAGCCTGGCATGGTAGCGCGCACCTGTAGTTCCAGCTACTTGGAAGGCTGAGGTGGAAGGATTGCCGGAGCCCAGCAGGTGGAGGCTGCGGTGGCCGGGAGCGGCCACTGCACTCCAGTCTGGGCGACAGAGTGAGACTCCAACTCAAAAATAAAAAGAAAAATAAAATAAAAATTTTGATTTCATCATCTGTAAGATAAAAATAGCAATAATAGTGCCTACCTCATAGGTCAATTTTGAGGATGAAATGAAGTAACACATGTATAAAACAATCATAGTGAACATTTACATAGTAATTGCCATATGCCAGAAATTGCTTTAAGCTGTATGAAATATTACCCACACTTTACAAGGGAAGAAATGGAGGCAAAAAGTCATGAATCAGGCCTGTGTAGTCAAGGTCAGAGCCCATAGCAAGTGCACAATGAATGTTGGTCATTGGAAGCCACATTCTTTGTTCATAGGTCAGGACTTGCTCAACAGCTGTTTATTCTCCAAGATACCACAAAACCCAGATCCTAGTTCTTATCCCTCTCTGAACTTTCCTCAGCCTTTGCCCCTTCCCTGGAGGCAGCACCAGTGTCTATTTGGCCTCTTCATCTCATCTGAGCCGGAGGAGTAAGAGCCCAGAATCTAGCACCATGGACAGCACCCCCCCCATTGGGCTTCCTCTTTTCTCCTAATTCTCAAGGGTTCACAATTATTTTGACAATTCTGGGCCAATATTTTATCCTACCCTTTCTTTACTTCTGTGTAACATTGTCTAGGATAAGGCATAGGGGAGGAAGTTTTCTGTTTCCACTACCCTTTTATTAATAACACCCTTGGCAAGTGTAGAAGAAAGCTCACTGAGGGGAGAATGGAGAAGCTTCCTTCTGTGTAGATTACCAGTACTTGACCCCACAGAGACTCCAGATGACATTGCCCCCCCCCCCAAGTGTTGTTTATTCCCATAGTACAAACCTTACCTTTTACCACATTTGAAAAAAAACTAAGACAAGCCCCCTAAAGGCCTTGGTATCCCCGATATTTATTAAGAAGTACCCCCAAAAGAGTCCCATTGGGTTAATGTTACCCAACACAGAGCTCAGACACTGAAGCATGAGAGAAACTTTCCCATGAGACTTAGGGGCCTGAAATTTGGAACCACAAAACTTTAGCCTAGTTGGTGGTTTAAAACAAAAATAGAGTTGAGGCCAGGTCCCAGTTGAGTCTCTATCCAGTTTGGCTTGGGACAGCTATAGGACTTGCCCATTGAATCCATGTTAGGAAACAACAGAGCCCACAGATCCTAGATCGAGATACCTCAGCCTAATCACTAGAAAAGGACTCTAGGCTGGGCACGGTGACTCACACCTGTAATCCTAGCACTTTGGGAGGCGAAGGTGAGACTGCCTGAGCCTGTGGGTTCAAGACTAGCATGGACAACATGTGAGACCTTGTCTCTCCAATAAATTTTAAAAATTAGCTGGCTGGTCGTAGTAACCCATGCCTATAATCCCAGCACGTTGGGAAGCCAAGGTGAGAGGATTGCCTGAGCTCATGCGTTCGAGACCAGCCTGGGCAACTTGGTGAGACCTCACCTCTACAATAAATCAAAAATTAGCTGGGCATGGTAGCGCATGCCTGTGGTTCCAGTTACTTGGAAGGCTGGGGTGGAAGGATCACCTGAGCCCAGCAGGTCAAGGGTGCAGTGGCTATGAGCAGCGTGCCACTGCACTCTAGCCTGGGCGACAGAGTGAAACTCCGACTCAAAAAAAAAATTAAAGGACTCAGTTGTTTTCTCTTCAGGCCATCAGTCATGCTTAGAACAGTTCACAGGGTCTGAGACTCACAGGCTAATGACCTCTTAACTGTCTTCTCACCTGGGAAGAGGATACGGCTGACCATACCAGGAAACACCATTATGAAAAGGGGCAGCACCTTCAGGTATGCAGCCATCAGAGAGCCTCCTTTGGCATGGGACAGGTTCTTGGCAGCCAGCGTCCGCTGAACTATCACCTGGAAAACAGTGAGGGTAGTTGGAAACTGAGATGGCTTTCTCTTAAGGCAAAAGAGCTTCTTAGTACATGCAGGAAATAGGAACTTGGCTTGCCTGACTTCTCTTTGAGGAAACATGTGTTTCCTCTTCTCAGTCCTTGTGGTCTAATTGGGGTGGCTATGCCTCCCACCCTGTGCTCTTCCTTCTACTTTATCCAGGGGTTGTGCCTGACCACCTCTCTGGCTACCATGATCAGTCAAGGAAAAGGCAGTCTGATTACAGCTATCCATGGAACTTCTTCCTTTAAAAGGTGAAGGAAAAAGGCACCCTACCCCCTATAGTATACTCTGGAATTGCTAAGTGTGAAGGTGGCACAGAGCTGCTGTCTACATCTCCGCCATCATCTTGGAAAAGTCTCTTTGATTCTGAAGTCATCTCAGAGGAAGGAAATCCAGACATGGAGAGAAAGACAATTTCTTATGACGTAGTATCAGAGACAGTCTGGGTTCAAATCTTACCTCACCACTTCCTGACATATGACCTTGGACTAGCAACTTTACCTCTCTTTGTCTCAGTTTCCTCATCTATAAAATGGGTATAATACCAGGACAGTTTTGACAATTAAATGAAGTAAAAATACTTGGAATACTTAGAATAGTATCTGACCCATAGTAATTGCTCCATAAATATTAGTTTTTACCATGGCTATTACCTACCTCTGGCCTCCCAGTCATGAGAGTTAAAAAAAAAAAAAAAAAAGTCAGCCATGTTAGGTGGCTCAGCTTGTAATCCTGTGCTTTGGGAGGCTGAGGTGGGTGGATTACCTGAGCCCGTGGGTTCAAGACCCACCTGGGCAACTTGGCGAGACCTCATCTCTACAATAAATCAAAAAAAATTAGCCAGGCGTGGTAGTGTGCACCTGTAGTTCCAGCTACTCGGAAGGCTGAGGCGGAAGGATTGCCAGAGCCCAGCAGGTCGAGGCTGCGGTGGCCGGGAGCAACCACTGCACTCCAGTCTGGATGACAGAGTGAGACTCCAACTCAAAAAAAAAAAAGTCTCTTTATTCTTAAACTATTTTTCCCCAGAAACAAAGAAAAGAGTCCTCATTATACTTGGAAGGCTGAGCGGAAGGATCGCCGGAGCCCAGCAGATTGAGGCTGCAGTGGCCGGGAGCGGCCACTGCACTCCAGTCTGGGAGACAGAGTGAGACTTCAACTCAAAAAAAAAAAGAGTCCTCATTAAGTCAGCAGAAAGACAAGGTGTAGCGATTCATTCCTGTAATCCCAGCACTTTGGAAGTTTCAGGCGGGGGAATCACTTGAGGCCAGGATTTTGAGACCAACCTAGATAATATAATGAGAACACTGTCTCTCAAAACAAGACAAAACAAAACCAAACCAAAAAAAACCCTTTAGGCCAGGCATGATGGCTCATGCCTGTAATTCCAGCATTTTGGAAGGCTGAGGCAAGAGGATCACTTGAGCCCAAGAGTTTGAGACCAGCCTGGGCAACATAGCAAGACCCTATCACTTAAAAAAAAAAAGTTGTAAAAAATCTGCAAAAAGCCCTTAATGGGAAGAGTGTTGAGCATTATGATTTGCTACAAACCCCACACCATATTCCTAATATTTTTTTTTTAGATTTCACTATACAAATGTGAACATCTTTGGGGGGAGATGTCATTTTGGGAGACATTTCATCTGCAGAAGCCATGGGACTGAAACTTGTCCGACCATTGCCAGAGGCATCAACATGATCAAGGATAATGTAAGGCAGGCATTGTTTGCTAATGGCCTAACTGCAGTGACAATGACAAAATGACACAATGACAAAACAATGACAAAACTGAGCATGATGGACAGGTTTCAAGGACAGGTACCGCTGGTCAGAACTCAAAAGAGCCCTGGTCACGAGCTGGCTGGCTACCCAGTTGAGAAACCTGTTTTCTGTCAGGGTCAGACCCTAAAAGGGACAGTAATTGAATGTTTCTTGATAAGTAATATCTCAGTGGGGGGGGAAGTGAGCTAAAAGGAATGAAAACGCAACTTCAATGTGTGGGAAGGAAGGGGCCATGATGAACTATGTGCCATCTCATGGCATCAATTGTGCATCCACTATCTCTTCATTTGCTCCTCCAACAGTAATCATGTACAAATTTTTCCTTCATTAGGACGGGAAAGAAGGGGGAGAGCTGTCACAGTGGAGGGGCATGCTGACCTGGCAGCTGGGGCCAGACACAGTGGCTCACACCTGCAATCCCAGTCCTTTGGGAGGCGAGGAGGAAGGATCACTTGATGCCAGGAGTTCAAGACTAGCCTAGGCAACATAGCGAGACCTGTCTCTACAAAAAAGTGGCTGGGTATAGTGACACCTGCCTGTAGCCCCAACTACTCAGGAGGGTGAGGCAGGAGAATCGCCTGAGCCCAGGAGGTCGAGGCTGGAGTGAGCTGTGATCATGCTACTGGACTCCAGCCTGGGTGGCAGAGTGAGACTTCCACTCAAAAAAAAAAAAAAAAAAAAAAGGGCTGGTCTCGGTGGCTCAGCCTGTAATCTTGGGCTTTGGGAAGCCGATGTGAGTGAATTGCCTGAACGTGTGGGTTCGAGACCCACCTGGGCAAATTGGCGAGCCTTCATCTCTACAATAAATCAAAAAAATCAGCCAGGCGTGGTAGCGTGCGCCTGTAGTTCTAACTACTGTAAGGCTGAGGCGGAAGTATCACCGGAGCCCAGCAGGTCAAGTCTGCGGTGGCTGGGAGCATGTGCACTGCACTCTAGTCTGGGCGACAGAGTGAGACTCCAACGCAAAAAAAAAAAAAAAAAAATGCAGCTGGGAATGGGTTCTTAGAATCAAGAGAACATCCAGCTGGTGATTTGCAATTAATAAATAGAGTGATTAAATGTGCAGATTTGAGTGTGAATCCTCACTCTGCCAGCTCTTTGTGAGTTTGGACAAGTTCCTTAACCTCCTCAGGCCTCAGTTCTCTCATCTATAAAATGGGAATAATAACAGTCCTGTTTTTGAGGTATCTAGCAGCTCTTAAGCAAAGAAACAGTAGTGATTATTGTCATTGTCATCATCACTGCTGCTGTTAGATGAAACCAGAGAAAGTGAAAATAGGTCAACAAAACAGAATTAGAAGAGAGTTAGCATTAGATGTTGGAAGCCGGATTCAAGAACTATGGGCCAGCAGTTTGGAAACATGAAAACAATGAACAATGTGACAATAAAGGAAGCAGAAAGGTGGTCTTGGGCAATACCTGAGCAGATGTAATTGTCCACACTGGTTTTCATGAATGAGTGTCTCCTGGTGACAGCAGAGGTCAATTGTCTTGAAAGGTCCAAGGCATGGGTAGAATAGAAACACAAACACTCCAGTCTTTGCTGGGAGTGATGCGTTAAGAGACAACAGAGAGAGGGTCTGAGCTATTGCTATCACCAGAATTGGAATGTTGGCGCATTACATCCTTACATAAGGATGCCTAGGCCTTATCCTGACACTCACTCTTCAAGAGCTCTCTGTTGAGTGGGTAAGGGTAGATCTTACTAAGATTTATCCATTCAAAGGGAATGACATTCTAGAGTTTTTCCTGAGTAGGAGACTAGTCTCTATATTTCCTTCCTCCTCCATTCTTCAAATGGAACCAACATGAGCTCAGAACTCTATCTACTATTTTCCTAGGCTTTGAGGCTTGAAACATGTGGAAAAGTTATAGAGGTCTTGGTGAGTTACCGGTGCCTTTTTTGAGCTGATTCAGTGAATTATGGATAAGGAGGAGGAAAATGTCATATCATGACCATTGCGATGCTGTGGTGAGCAGAACAAAATCAGAATTCTTCTCAATTTAAAAATAGTGGACATCAATGAAATTGTCTTCCCAGGGTGTCCTGCCTTTTTTTTTTGCAACCCATCCCCTCATCCACATGGTGATACTATTATCTTGGGTGCAGTTTCATGATCCAATAGTAGACACCTAACCCAGACTTGACCAATTAGAGTTCTTTTCCAGGATTTTGGATTTGGGGCTCAGAGAGTTGTCATGCTCTTTCCAGTTGGTCTGCCATGACAAACAATGCAGTCATCAGGTGAGAAAGAAAGATGATAGACAGGGAAACCAAAATAAGTTCTAAGAGTTTCTGGAGGCTAGTTCAACTTCCTGTAGTTTGTACTCCTTGAGCTAATAAGTCCCCCCGCTTTTTTCTAAGCTAGTTATTTTTTTTGTCACTTGCAATCAAGTGTACTCTCACATGTACAAGTTATATTTGTTTGAATGTTGCAAGTAAAAGACTCTAAAATGTGAAATTTAGCCAGGCATGGTGGTGCGTGCCTGTAATCCCAGCACTTTGAGGTGGAGGTGAGAGGCCTACCTGAGCTCAGGGATTCGAGACCAGCCTGAGCAACATGGCGAGACCTCATCTCCACAATAAATACAAAAATTAGCCGGACGTGGTGGTGGTACATGCCTGTGGTTCCAGCTACTTGAAAGGCTGAGGTGGAAGGATCACCTGAGCCCAGCAGGTTGAGGCTGTGATGACCATGAGAGTGCCACTGCACTCAAGCCTGGGCGACATAGTGAGACTCCAACTCAAAAGTAAAATAAAATAATAAAATAAAACATGAAATTGTCTTATTTGAGGGAATGCAAGAAGTGGCGAGGATCCCTCTGTCCATAGCTGGAAAGTTAGCTGGTCTTGTTTCACAGTTGGTTTAATGATAATCTGTCATTTCTCAGAACTCCAAACACAAACCTAGTGAAGCTAGAACACTTAGGAATGTGCCAGTGAAAAATGTAAGGTTATTGGAGTCTATAGCATACTTTTTTTTGGAATGTTTATATTAACTTATTTTTAATTGGCAAATAAAAATTGTATATATTTATTGTGACATGTTTTGAAATATGTCTATATCATGGAATGACTTCAAGCAAATTAGCATATACATTATTTCACATACTTTCCACTTGTTTGTGGTGAGAACACTTAACATCTACTCTGTAGCAATTATCAAGAATCCAACACGTTT